TAGCCTCCAGGTGGGGCTTGGAGATCTCCAGACGGTCACGTTCAGTCCCCCTGGAGAAAATGGCTGCTCTGGAAGGTGGACTCTGCGGCATGATACCCTGCTGAAGTCCCTCCCCTCCCCAAGCCCCATCCTCCTCAGATTCCACCCCCCAAATCCCCAGGAATTTCACGACACGAAGCTGGCAACCCTAAACATAAGCATGGTGTAGTGTATTCAAAGCCGCCTTGAATGCATGACATGTTGTGAAACATCTAACTGAACTGTAATGTTAAGCTCCGTCCTGGGCTAGGATCCAAATCCATCCAATAGTATTGCTAGCCCAGGAAGTAACAAGCCAATCACCTTCAAGCAAGCTCCCTGAGCGGGAACTCATGTGATTGGGCCTTATCTCTGCAACCTCATAGGTTGATATGTGTACAGTGGGTGTGGCTACATTAGCCGGGAATGTTTAAAAGCAGGACAGCTGCAATGTAAAGGCTGTTCTGGCTATCAGACGTTGATCCATGTTGGAGTTGTGTTCGAGTTGAGGAATAAAGTTGTGTTCTTGCTGAGTCACTCTCCGACTGCTTTGTTAAGCGAGCGACTTAACACGTGGTGAGTGAAGGACGGTGACACACTTTTGTGAAGGGTGGGTCGGCATTTTACTACCGCTGGCTACGTCGGCCGTCTGACTTTTCCTCTGTGAAAGCTCAGAGGGTGCATGTACATCATAGGGTTGACTGACTTTCCCTCACCCCGGAACAGCGTTGCCAGGATTCGGGGGGGGGCGTTCCGGGAGGTCCCCGACATGATGACGTCACCCGGAACTGACATCATCACCTTGGCAACGTCACACTGAGACACTCTGGTTTGAGGGCAAAACTCGATGGTTTTAGGTCAAATTTACCACAGAGTTTTGCCCTCAGACCAGGGCCTCCCACATAGTGCCCCAACGTGACGATGTCACATCCGGGTGTCGTCACCATGCCGGGGACGTGGCTGTTTGGGGGCAGGGTTTCCCCGCCAGCCAGCTGGCTGGCAGCGGGCTGAAGCCCCCCAAAACCAGAGGAACCCCTGCCAGGACTTGGGGACTGGCAACCCTATCCTTGAAAACTGTAGCCCCTGTGAGGACTACAATACCCAGAGGCCTCTGTGGCTAGATTGGCCTTATAGGCTTACAGTGTGGGTAGCTAAACCCAGAGTCACACAACTATGGGCCAGTGTTCCCTGTAAGGCTTAAGCTGAGTTAGCGTGAGCTTACATGTTTTTGTCTTCGCTCAGGAAGGAGGGCTCCAGAGCAATGTTCCCTCTAAGTTGTGGAGTCCTGTGAGCAAAAATCCTACTTTATGGGCTACTGGCATTAAAGTTGCGAGCGCACAAACTGGCTCCTGCATAGATTAGGTTGCTCCGGAGCCAGCCTTCCTGAGCTCAGGCAAAAATGTGTGAGCCGGGGACTAAAAAAACTGTGAGTCAGCTCACAATAACTCAGCTTAGAGGGAACACTGCTCCAGAGCAGACTAATTTATGCAGTAGCCAAATCGCTCGTTCACCACTTTAATGCCAGCAGCCTCACAAAGCAGAATTTTCGCTCACATGACTCCAGCTTAGAGGGAGCATTGCTGTGGGCTCCCCCGGTCTCCTAGCCAGGCCCAGATCTCCTTAGCTTCACAGAGTGGACTGATGCAAACTGCTCAAGCTTCTTTCTTCAGCTTGGGCCCCTCCACATAAAGATGCCAACCTCCAGGCGGGGCCTGGAGATCTCCCTGGATTACAACTGACCTCCAGGCTACAGAGATCTGTTCCCCTGGAAGTAAATGGATGGTTTGGAGGGTGGGCTCTGTGGCAGGGATCCACTCTGGTGCCCATGGGCAGCACGGCACTCACCAATGGCTTTCCTGTGTTTGGTGGGTGCCGTGTTTTTTAGACAGTGAGTGGGACCCCTGTCAGGAGAGCTTCTGGTTGGCCACTAGATTTCTGATTGGCTGTGGAGATGAAAACGACATTGTTTCATCAGCATCAACTACAGGGTTAGTTTTCTCTCTCTCTCTCTCTCACTCCTTTTTCCCAGTGCATTTTTAAAAAATTAGTCACCCTGTCCCCTGTATTTGGGCTTCCTCTCTGTGTATGGTTAGCTCCACCGCCCACGGTGGCCATTTTGTGTCCCACTTCCCACAGCAGCCATTTTGTGGTCGTGCCCACCATCCTATGTCAGGATTCCAAAGGAGCCTACAGACTCAAAAAGGCTGGGGACCCCTGCTCTGTTGCATTGTCCTTCAGTGAAACCCATCTCCACCGGCGGATCGGGTCCCGGGGGGGAACCACATCCCGACGTGCACGTCACCCGGAAGTGGCGCGACCACGCTGGGCACGCTGTAGGCTCCACTATGGTTTTCCCTTGGATGGTCGTGGCCCCGCCCCCAACGTGCCCGGCGTGGTCGCGTCACTTCCGAGTGACGTGGATGCAGATCTCCAGCCGGGAGTCCCCAACTGTGGCGAAATCCGAACTTGTCAACCCTAATCCCCTCCCCAAAGCCCGCCTACTGAAGGCTCCACCCCCCAAACATCCAAGGAATTCCCCAACCCAGAATTCTCTGCTTCCCCTTCCCGCCTCTCCAGCCCCGTCTTTGGCTCCTCCCTCTCTCCCCGCCCCTTTTCCCGCCGGCTCTCCTCTCACCTGGGGTTGACCTGACTGACAGGGATGTTCAGGCGGGCGGCAATGTCTTCCACCGTCTCGTTGCCCTCCGAGATGATGCCCACACCTTTGGCGATGGCCTTTGCTGTGATTGGGTGGTCACCAGTTACCATGATCACCTGGCGGCGGAGAAGGGCGGGGGACCAGAGGAGAGGCAGTGAGGGGAGAGGACGCCAAGACGACTATCCACCAATCCACCAAACCAGCCTGGGCTCCCTTTTGAGAGTTAGAAAGTTCAGGAGGGGGTTCCAAGAGGCCCGAAAGACAAAAATCTCCTTAGGAAGACGCACACTCCTTTTTGCTCATCAACACACCCCTAAACGCAGCTTTCTTTCTACAGCTATAAGCCAGTGCACATTCCCACAGCTTAAAATTCTGCAAGAGTCAAGTTGTTTATAGTGGTGTCGTTTCCCAGCTGGACGATCCCGCAGTTTAACGTAGGAATTCCAAACTGACGCAAGCTGATATTTATTCAAGAGCGTCCCATTGCATTTAGGGCCAAATTTTCCAGGGAAATACCTTTGGCTCAGACACAGACCAGCTGTCCGGACATGGGAATTCTAACGAGAGAGAAGACAGCTGGTGTGTGTCTCTTCCTACCACAACGAATGTCCTAAAAGAAAGCCCCAAAGTGTCACGGGCTTCTTAGTTGCCATTGGCTGAGCTACTCTGATGTCATAGAAGGCCTGGCCAAACAGCGGTCACGGAGCAAAGAAATTTATGTTCAGTCCTGCAAGACCTTGGGCGACACTGGGATTCACTGAAGAGCATGGGAATGTACGAATGCTACAGATTTCTGAATTGCTACAGATTTATGAATTCAGACATGTTTGCCATGTGCGAGATTCTCCTTCCACAGAGACATGAAGAAGGAGAAGGGTTGGTTTTATACCCCGCCCTTCACTACCTGAAGGAGTCTCAAAGTAGCTTACAATTGCCTTCCCTTCCCCTCCCCAAAGCACCCTGTGAGGTGGGTGAGGCTGAGAGAGTTCTGAGAGAACCACGACTGACCCAAGGTCACCCAGCTGGCTTCATGTGGAGGAGGAGTGGGGAATCGAACCCGGGTCTCCAGATTAGAGTCCGCCGCTCTTAACCACAACAGCAAGCTGGCTCTTCACCGCCACACCTGGATCTATTAGATGCAAGCTCAGCACCAAGAAAGAGATCTCTATGCACCCCACCAACACCAGCATGCCCTGTGGCGGATACATCTTAGCTGACTAGCCTTTGCAAAGGGGAATGGGCACTAAATTTTAGCACCAGCAGTTTGGCCTCCAGACTAGCTCAGCCTTCCTACCTTGATGCCGGCGCTACGGCATTTCCCGACGGCATCAGGCACAGCCGCTCGGGGTGGATCAATCATGGACATGAGCCCCACGAAGCAGAGGTTTTCGGTGGTGAAGTTGACGTCGTCGCAGTCGAAGGCGAATCCTTTGGGGTACTGCTCCTCGGGCAAGTAGTAAAGGCAGAAACCTGGGAGGAGGAGGAGGAGATGGAAGTCTTGGGAGGGCCTTCAGAACTGGAATGGCCGGGTGCAAATGCAGAGATTCTGCTTGTCCCTTTAAGAACTTGGACCCCCACCCCCTGCCACGTTTGTGGGTGCAAAAATACAGGCAGATTCTCTTTAAACACCTAGTCCCCGAGTTGCTACAAAAACCAGCTTTTCTTTTAAAGGGAAAAGAGACTCTGTTCTTTTCCCAATAAGATAGTTTCAGAGTACGGTTGCCAGCCTCCAGGTGGGGCCTGGGGATCTCCTGGAATGTAAACTGGTCTCCAGACAAGAGAGACCAATTCCTCTGGTGTCAAATGGCTGACGTGGAAAGTGGACTCTATGGCTAAGATTGCCAAACTCCAGCTGGTGGCTGGAGATCTCCTGGGATTACAATGGATCTCCCGGAGACAGAGAACAGTTCGCCTGGAGGAAACGGCCCCTTTGGAAGGTGGACTCTGTGGCATTACATCCCACTGAAGTCCCTCCCCTCCTCAAACCCCGCCCTCCTCAGCCTCCACCCCCCAGATCTCCAGGTATTTCCCAACCTGGAGCTGGCTACCCTGTCTACGGCATTATACCCCAATGAGTACCCTCCCCTCCTCAAATCCTTCCCTTCCAGGTCTCTGCCCCCAAATCTCCAGGAATTTCCCAACCCAGAGCTGGCAACCCTATTTCAGACGGTAGCTCCGTTTGTCTGTGGTAGAACTGATCGGTTCAAGTCCGGTAGCACCTTCGACACCAACAAGCTTTTCAGGGTATAAGATGGCAAGAGTCATAGGATCATAGAGTTGAGAGGGACCTCCTGGGTCATCTAGTCCAACCCCCTGCACAATGCAGGGAATTCACAACTATCTCTCCCCACACCCCCAGTGACCCCTACTCCATGCCCCGAAGTTGGCAAAAAAATCCTCCAGGAACTCTGGCCAAACTGGCCTGGAGAAAAATTGCTTCCTGACCAGTGTTCCCTCTAAGCTGAGTTAGTGTGAGCTAGCTCACAACTTTTTAGCCTCCGCCTCACACATTTTTGCCTTAGCTCAGGAAGGAGGGCTCCAGAGCAAACTAATGTATGCAGTAGCCAAATCGCTGGCTCACAACTTTAATGCCAGTAGCTCGCAAAGTAGAATTTCTGCTCACATGACTCCCCAGCTTAGAGGGAGCATTGTTCCTGACCCAAAAGTGGCGACTGGTATTTCCCTGGGCATGTAAGAAAGAATGAAGGAGGAGGAGGAGGTTGGATTGATACCCCACCTTTCACTACCCGAAGGAGTCTCAAAGCGGTGTATAATCTCCTTCCCCTTCCCCTCCCCACGACAGACACCCTGTGAAGCAGGTGGGACTGAGAGAGACCTTTCAAGAACTGCCCTTGAGAGAACAGCTCTGAGAGAACTTTGTGACTGACCCAGGGCCACCCCAGCCGCTACACGTGGAGGCATGGGGAATCAAACCCGGCTCTCCCAGACTAAAGTCCGCGCTCCTAACCACTACACCAAACTGTCTCCCGTCTTCAAACAGGGACTCTCAAACCTCGTAACCCCCCAAAACCTTATTGGTCCCTAAGGTGCTACTGGATCCAAATGTAGCCGTTCTTCCTTTCCGAGGAATAGGAAGAATCTCCTAGAAGAATCTCACTGGCAAACAGATCATGCAGCCCCTGCCTAGGGGCACCACGGTCTCCTCCGCGCCTCCCCAGCTTCCCCCGGGTTCTCTGGCACTCCTCCGCAGGCGTCTCCCTTACCCAGCACGCGCCGCCGAGTCCTCCTAGCTCCAGGTAGGCGTTCTGGAAAGCCTCTTTCATCTCCTCGTCCAGCGGCTGCTCTTTGCCCTGGAAGATGATGGTGGTGCATCGGTCCAAGATGCGCTCGGGAGCCCCCTTCATCACCAACAGGTAGCGGTTATCGTTGGGGTCCTCCGTCTCGTGAATGGAGAGCTGCGGGAAGGGAAGGAATGCTCTCTGGAGTCAAGCAGGACTTCCACATCTACAAATCATGGAGCTCTACGGGTTAAGACCCTCCTCACACCCAATTCCTCCCCCCCCCCAGGGGATGACTGATAGCCAATCCATGCAATATGCAGAATCAGGTATTGAGTCTCCACTTCAAATTGCCGGTGGTGGGTGGGGAGAAACGTCATGTTTTTAACGGATCCCCATGTTTTAAAAAAAATCCTTGCTTGAAGGAGAAGAAGAGATTGGATTGAAGCTGCCCGAGGAGCTACAGAGTCCAGTGTCTACTTAGGAATGTACAGAGGCCAGCTGTATCTTCAGTCATCTGTCAGAATTTCAGAAATGTTTCCAACCAACCCTAAGGCTTTGGAATCTAGAAAGGATAATGCTGTTATCCCATTGCCCATGATCAAATGGAAACCCTTGATTGATTCTCCTTCCAGGACTCCTGTGTTGGTGGGATCTGATGAATTTGACAAATGTCTCAGCAATGATAAGTTTTCCCATGAAGAGTACAGTAATGGTGCCCTTTCAGTCCTGCAGTATCCCTATGATAATGGTTACTATTTGCCCTACTACAAGAGGGAGAGGAACAAACAGAGCACTCAGATTACTGTCAGGTTTTCTGACAACATGAACAAAAACTAAAAAAACAACAAGCAATTAGATAAGCATATGGAGCAGAGGTCCATCAGTGGCTATTAGCCACAAGGTATAGGTAGGGGCTCTGGGGCAAGTGATGCTCTGTCTTCTTGGTGCTTGGGGGGGGTCAATAGTGGGAGGGCTCCTAGTGTCCTGGCCCCACTGGTGGACTTCCTGATGGCACCTGGTATTTCTGGCCACTGTGTGACACAGAGTGTTGGACTGGATGGGCCTTTGGCCTGATCCAACACTGGCGTCTCTTATGTTCTTATGATTTATACCCTGCCCTTCACTACCCAGAGGAGTCTCAGAGCGGCTTACAATCTCCTTTCCCTTCCCCTCCCCACAACAGACACCCTGTGAGGTAGGTGGGGGCTGAGAGAGCTCTGACAGAAACTGCTCTTTTTCAAGAACAGCTGTGCCAGAACTATGGCTTGCCCAAGGTGCAAGTGGAGGAGTGGGGAATTAAACCCGGTTCTCCCAGATTAGAGTCCGCGCACTTAACCACTACACCAAACTGGCTCTGGATTTGCAGTAAGCTAGCTCATCAGGGAAAAGGCTATGCTACACCACTCTCCCCTACATGCTGCACTTTCTGCATGCAATGCAACAAGATCTCTCATGCTGATCCAAAGAGGAGAGGTGCATGACTCCAAGGGAAGGGATCCCTGTCGTCTGGAGATTCCAGGAGAACTCCAGCCACCACCTGGAGGCTACAGAACAAAACTGCAGCACCGTGTATTAGATTATGAATTCATATTTCTTTTAACACTTTTTGCAGCCACTGCAGGGGTCATTTCCTGCGGGAGCACACAGGAGCGGAGCTCTGGCAGTAAGGAGCCCAGGGGGTGGGCACATGCAACAAGCCCCACCCCCTGCTCCCAGCAGCCCTCAGTCGGGCCATGAGGAGCAAGAAGCAGCCAGGTAAGTTGCAGACACACACCCCCAGGCCCGCCTTCAGGTACAAGCTCTCCCTCCTCTGTGAGGGCAGATCTGCACGTTCCCCCCCCCCCAATAGCTAGCAATCCAAAACAGACCAGTGGAGCCTGAGCGGTGGGTGTTGCCTTCTGACACACTTCCGGTGATGTCAGGGGGTGTGGCATATGCAAATAAGTTATGCTAATGAGATATGCTAATGAGCTCCTGCACCTCTTTTTCTACTAAACGACCCCTGAGTCACTGTATATATTGGGATATTTTACTGGGATACTTCTTGTAATGTAAAGTAAAGTCAATATAATACAAATTATAAATATCAAATTAAATCTTGTAAATTACATCAACTATACAACCTATGCCCTACAGGACTAGAAGTCGACATAGAAACCTTTGAAATGACATAACTCAAGCTAGAGGCCTTTGAGATGCCGACGAGAACCGGTGTAGCCTCATTTCTGCCTTCATCAGGTCTCACTGAGGAAAATTTACAATTAATTTTTTTTAATTACAGTTCTACAAATAAAAAAAATACTCTGCAGAATCGTACGTTTCCCTCAGTAAGACATGAAGAAACAATAATAGGATTGTACGTTTCCCTCAGTAAGACTTTTGGCCCTGTTGACATACGGCCCTACATGTTGTATAGCTGATGTGATTTACAATATTTAATTTGATATTTATAATTCGCATTACATTGACTTTATATTACAAAAACGATCGCAATGAAATACTATACGTAAGTGACTGCAGAACGTGCTAAAAGAAATAAGAATTCATAATCGGATACACGGTGCTGCAGCTAATCTAAAGACACCGTGGTCTTTTTGTTGTGTTGCGCACCACATGGAGGTTGGCAACCCAAATTTCCCCCTATGCATAGAGAGAATGCACAACCCCTCTTTGAACCAGACCTAGGTGAGGGGCAACCCCCCCCCATGAAACTTCAACTGCAGCTCTGATCGTAACATGTAAAAACCTTCCCCCACTGGCAAGCTGGCCTGCACCTTTCCCATCTCTTAGCCTGGGTCCAAACGGCACAATGTGAACGCACCATTTCCCATCTGACCACAGATGCCTGACAACCCTACATTGGCACATATGCGAATCGCTGGCCACTGTGTCTTAAATTGCATGGAAAAGGGCGCTGTGAGGGCGCTGTGATCCAGATTGCCTGCAAGTCGCTCCAACCTTGCTGCCTAATCCCAGATGAGTGAGATCTAGTTGTGCTCCCACAGTGCTGAGCAAAGGGCAATCGGTACGTGCCCAGAGGCACTCTTGCTTACAACTGCTGCTCGAGTTCCAAAGCTGGCATTGGTCTATCTAGGGGTTGGGGACATGCCAGAACTCTTAAGAGGGAAATGAAGTTTTCAATGGTATATGGAAAACTAATGAACTTTACATTTTAAAAAGAATTTTGTCAAAGAGGTTCTGGAACTCCGTTCTGCCACATTCCCCCAGAAGAAAAACCCTGGCGTTTATCCCTTAAAGCAGGGTGCCCCAACTTTTTTTAGTCTGCGGGCACTTTTGGAATTCTGACATAGCGTGGTGGGGCACAGCCACAAAATGGCTGCCATAAAATGGCTGCCGCAGGAGGCAAAGCCAGCACAAAAAAAATGGCTGCTGCATCTTACCTTCACTCCTTGTACTGCAGTGGCAGCTGCTGCCAAAGCAATGTTTTAAAAAACTGCACAGCCAAAGGCAGAAGCCCCACTTTCTAAAACACTTTCCATCCATCCACTTTCTAAAACACTTGGCGGCCACTACTAAAGTGGTTGGCGGACACCCTGTCTTAAAAAGAAGAAGAAGAGATTGGATTTATACACCACCCTTCACTACCTGAAGGAGTCTCAAAGTGGCTTACCATGTCCTTTTCCCTCCCCCCCCCCCACAACAGA